CCTATATTCAAGTCAGTGCTCCATCAAGCTAATCTGCGAGTTATTAATTTAAGAAATAATTTCATACAAAACGACGGCTGCCGTCAGTTGGCCAAGTCTTTACCCACATTGAGGCAACTGAAAACTTTGAATTTACAAGGCAACCTTATTACTTCGGAAGGGGTAGACATTCTACTCTCAACGCCAAGTGGGCTTGAAGAGCTCGAAGAGCTGAACTTGAGTCAAAATCCATTGGGTAATGACAGTTTAAGAATTTTGGAAAGATTTTGTAGCAGCAGTGCAGCTAAGTCTCTGCAACAGCTGTCACTATCTAATTGTAATTTAACGAATTTGTATGACTTTGATTTGGCTTTCTTTCAACTAAGTGCGATTGATCTTAGCTATAACAAGCTTATGAATAATTCATTGCGAAAACTTCTAACCAAATTGAATGCATCTCGCCTAAAAGAGCTTAACCTGAGCTATATGCAAGAATACACGTCCGCAGACGAACGAGATACGGCTATGACTGCAGAACATATCACATCCTTCTTTGAAAGTGGCACGTGCGAGAAGTTTCGGCGCATTAAACTTTGCGGTTGCCATCTTAGCGATCTGAATTTGTACAAAATATCCGAGAATCTTCAAAAGGCCTGTGACTTAGATCTACTTGACGTGAGTGATAATAACAAATTAAGTGGCGTCACTTTTTTAACGGTATTGTCTAAGATAACACACTTGCGAAAGTTTTGCGCTCTGAATTGTGTACACTTTGTGGATGAGGAACGCTTGAGGGAGGTGCAGAAATTGAAGCAAATTCCAAGTTTTTTATCGCTTACCTTAGGCGACAAAAGCGATGAATATGAGCCGCGTCTGCGCAGTTTATGGCAATCACATTGGGGCGATAAAGCGAAAGTAAAAACATTTTCCGGGTGCTTACTATTGCATATAAATGAGCAGGATTTGCTTCAGAATTGGTGATACATAAACTATTGGTTTTACGAATACTTCTGAAGATTCGACATTTTCACTTTCGTGCTTTTGGATTATTATCTGACTATAGACTGTGTCTTATGATAACGATGTTGTTTGCTTGTAATGAAAAGAAGTTTGATAGTTATAAATTGGTTTAAGTATACTAAGGATAAAATTTGTACATTTATTACTTATATTAACTTTTTTTATTAAAACATTTTATGGCATATTGGAATTAAGTGCATTCGACAGTTGGGTACACACAGACCATGGTCCCGGTAAAAAAAAATGTCAACTATTTATTACAAATTTCATAAAGGGATGGAGACCAGAACATAAACTTCTTGATTGCCCCGCAATCGCAAGAAGGAGCCCGGCTATCGGAGAAATGAATCCGTTGGAGGGCATGATACCTTTATCAGCGCTGCTAGAACTACTTATTGCAATTTGCTTAAATCAAGTAATGTGATAGAGAAGGCCAAATAGACCACATTAATCTAATGTAATCTAATTTCCCTTAGCACAAACATAGTTAGATCGTCAAATAGCCACCAGACGGAGTTCAAATATATCATAGCTGTAGACTACAAAATATTCTCTTATAATATTGGTTTTATTGAAAGCAATTTCATCTTGTCTAAACACATTAGATAGACTGCTGCACAAGTACATATGTATGTCTTCTTGGCACTGTTATCACTATACAAATAAAATTCCTGCGATAACAAATGTTTCACTAAGCAGGGACATGTATAAATAACTACCCCCAAGCGCACAACAATATCTCCGTTGTCGTAATGTTTGAGCTGATAAGCAATAGGAGTCTTAGTACGTTCGCATTAAACATTGAACCTGTTCATGGAAAGAAGTGTAATAAAAATTTAGATTGTATCTCAATGTATGTATTATGTATTACGTATTTTTTATTTCTTTTGATCTACCTATACTTGTATAATTAAATTATAATTTTTTTCTTATTCCATATAATTACTTGAAAGCATCAAGCAGTTCGTAAAAAACTTACACAAATTTCATTTAGATTTTTCAATACATATTTTAAATAAATAAATATATTTCCTAACTTATTTGGCTGACTGTTTGGCCTCTTCCAACATATTTCTGGAGATGATGAGACGTTGAATTTGCGACGTACCTTCGTATATTTGGTAAATTTTAGCATCTCGCATCAATTTCTCGACGGGATATTCGGTGTTGAATCCATTGCCGCCAAAAATCTGCACAGCATCGCTGGCAATCTTGTTCGCCATATCCGCCGCATGGCACTTGGCTATCGAAGCGTAGAAACTGTTTCGACGGCCTTGATCTACTTCCCATGCCGACAAGCGGTAGGCTAGACGAGATGTTTCCACCCCGATCGCCATGTCGGCGAGCATGAATTGTACAGCTTGATGATAGGCGATTGGTACACCGAAAGTTTTACGTTCCAACGAGTATTTCAACGCCTCGTCTAAACAACGTTGCGCCAGGCCGACAGCACCAGCAGCCACAGGTGGGCGCGTTTTATCGAAAGTACCTACAAAAAGATATATGTACGTGAATACATTATACTCATGAACATTTCATATACAAGTACTTCACGAGATATGAAAAAAAATTATTAATCTTTTGTTGACATCTCCCTCCTTCACTCACCCATGGCGATTTTGAAACCGGCACCTTCACCGATTAGCACATTCTCTTTAGGAATACGTACATCTTCGAAAGTGATGCCGCGTGTGTCAGACGCGCGTTGTCCCATATTTTGTTCCTTACGACCAGGCGTGAGGCCAGGTGTGTCACGGTCGACAATGAAGCCGGTGAAAGCTTTTGAGGCAGGGGCTTTTGGGTCAGGATTGGTGCGTGCCAGCACGAAGTACCAATTTGCAACGCCGCCATTGGTAATCCACATTTTCTGTCCATTCAAAATGTACTCGTCACCTTTGCGCTCAGCTTTCGTTCTAATGCCGTTAACATCGGAACCGGCACCAGGTTCTGTAACTGCATAAGCGGCAACTATGGGTTCCTCCAATAGGCGTCCTAAATATTTCTTCTTCTGCTCTTGGTTACCAGCAATGATAACGGGTGTTTGCTATAGACAAATAAAATTCGATCATATCAGAACAACTGATGATTGCCTACTCATTCTACTCATTTACTTACACCCAAACCACTAGCTTCTAGCGCTGTCATGATACCGGTGCAACCGTAAGCCAACTCTTCGGCAATTAGACAACTAGTATAACAATCAATATCCATGCCACCGATATCGGCTGGTATATGGTTGTTCATCAAGCCCAATGACCATGCCTTCTTAATAATATCCCACGGATACTCGCCAGTTTTATCATGATGAGCTGCCACCGGTATAATTTCTTCGCGTACGAATTTGCGTGTAAGGTCCTGCATTTGTTTTTGGTCTTCGGTAATACCGAAGGAGGGTCCAGTAGGTATGACGTGAGAAAGTGCGCCATAACTGCGGGATGTCAATTGACGCAGACGCGTGGCCGTAAGCTGAAAATAAAAAAGATAAATTCAATATCATCTAAGTGCATTTTCCGGTGATGTAGATCCTATTGTCATAGGTACGGGTGCTTTGCATGCTTTTACATGAACCGATTTACTAATTTCTGAAGCTTAAACGTATTGTATATGAAAGAACACTATGCATAAATCCATATGTGTGTATACAAAACAATATTTAACGCAATCCTTCCAATAACCAGCCATAATCTTTAAAATGGCTTCCCGGTATCCGTTTCACTCTAAAAACAACTAGATCATTATTTTAAATGCAACCAAATATACATATGTATATATGTATGTTTACTTGTGTGCATATGCATTGTATAACCACAAGTTTTAGTTGCTTTGTTGGAGTAATAATTTTGAAATACATACACTCACACTTCCATTTGCACATTTTATACCCTATAAAAGCTATACGGTTTTCGTAAAAATTTAGTTTTCACGTCGAAAATTGAATCAACCAATAAAGTATCAGCTTTACATGTAGCACAGAGGAAAAATATACATATTACTTTATAGAGCACTTATCATGATACCTTCACCCAAGGTTGCGTTCTTCTAATAAACAAGTCGTCCACATCCAGATATAACATTCACTAAATCGGATAAAAATATTTGTTTACAGCTTCTCGTATAAATTAGCGGTTATTGTCAAGTTATGGGGGTCAAAGTACAGAATTGACGCTCAAAAACAAATGAACAGAATCTACTTGCTCGGTGTGCTGACGTCTCATCACTGCACATACGAATGCCCCTTTATATTTACATACATATGTATATACCTAGTATGTACATATGTGCACTTGGCCTAAAAACAAAAAAACAATTATATTCACAATTTTTAAATTTTTACACCACTTTTTAACAACATTCCTTTTCCAAATGGTTTACAAAATTGAATTGAATTAGTTTTACCGATCTTTTTTTAAAAAAATTGATCACTCTCTCGTATTCTTACCTTATTTAAAAAAGCCATCTTTGTTTTTGATTGCGCAAATATGTATATTCCAAAGTAAAATATTAGACCTAGTAAAATCTAGATGACGTTGAACACTGTGTTGTTTGTGAAAAGTTTTATTCCTGCTTACGCTACGCCGCGAATACGAATAAAAATATTTTCGCTAAACACTCTTGCTTTATTATTGAAAGCCAATTCATCGGATTTGGACTTTGGAATTTCGCGCTCTGTGTACGTACTCTCTTCATACCAGTTGTTATCAACATATTTGTATATTCCCACAAACATACGTAAGTGTTTGTGTTGTTTTGTTTTCTTTGCCATAAAATGATGTTGTTATTGCTCGGTATTCACCATAGTTTATATACATCGCCGTTTTAATGTTACGTTCTTAAGTCACGGAAGCAGAGAACGGAAGTACGTATGTATATACTTTAAACGTAGACGTTTGCATATAGCGATGGTACAATATTTGTTTCCCTTAGCACATACGCCATATAATTGTTAATAAATATGGTATTTACAGTATAACTCTGATATTATAGTCGGGACAATGTTTGTATTTATATATAAAATATATATTTAAAAGAGAACGTTAGTTTAATGAGTAATGCCAAATGACAATTTAGAAGTGGACCATAATATCGATAACAGATCGTTAATAATCTATATACTACAAGTATATATACTACAACTATATATAAAATGCCAAATATATAAATTTAATATTTCATTAGGTGTGTGTGTGTGTAGTAAGAACGCTCGCGTATGACAGTGGCTGGCATCGAACTTACGAACGTCCCAAAATGAATAATCTAATATACTTATAAACATACAAAATTAGCGCACATCCTTTGACTAGATGCTTGACAAAGTTTCTATCCCTAATTGTTACAAAGAAAGTATGCTTAAAATTTAATTTGAGACACTTGGCCAAAGATATGCTGGATGTAGTGCTGAACTTCCTGATTAAGTATGTAATATGGCTAAATTATCAATTCATGCGAACATACAAACATATGTACATACATACAGCACTCACAAACATCCATGCATATGTATGTTCATAATTGTAGGGATGACATCTCGGTGGAGCATCTTAGCAACATCGCAAGCGCGGCAACACCCTATTTTGCTCACCCTGCCAAAAGGGAGCCGTGTAAATATGAGTATATTTTTTTCATATCCCAGACCATGATGGACAAATTTATTGTGTTATGCTTCCTTCGGTAGCAATCTTTTGTGAAACGTTTTCTCTGTTGTTGTTGTAGCTTCCTTGTTTTCGTTGTATTCGTTTGTAATTTTGTGCCAACAGCGACGAGGTGGTTGGCCCTGCTAACACCAATACTAACAATCGACCAGGGCTTTATCGCATGGGTTCGCATGATGTAGATGCCGAAGTGATGCGAAGTTTTGTGTGTGGAAAATCCTGCAATGCCATAAGGCAAAGGCTAAAGTCAGAGCATTTTACGAAAGTAGTATCAGTTGTTTGACATTGTTCCTGGCAAAAGGTTGTCCTGACGGCTGACATTGCGTATACTCCAGTTGGACACCAAATACTCACACAAACAAATTGCTCACAACCAGTTTTGGTATACCCACAAAATCAGAAAATATTTTTATAGAAAAGTTACCTAATCGTTTTGAAAGTGTAGAAATATTAAAGTTTGGTTCAAAGTGTTCAAAAACAGATGGAGAAAGTGATATTGGTTAGATGTGTTGAATAATTGGAAAAGTTAATATATTTAAAATATATACAATGTGCATGCTCTCATATATGTATATTTTCTAAGTGATCTTATGTAAAATTTGCGAAACGTAAGCAGTGAATGTGAAAAGATTTTGAAACCTCTTTCGTAGAAATATAAATATTTTAGTAAAAGTATGGACTATATATGTATGAACAAGAATAGAATTTAATTCGAGATACAAAAGTTTAGTGGTCGATCCTGCACGTACACCTTCAGTGAATTTTATATCTGCATACATACAAAAATATATTAAAAAAATCTGAGAAAAATTAAAAGTTCAAAGTTATTTGGAAACTTAATTAAATAATTATTCACTTTAATACATAAAAATTATATAATCTCTAAACTAAAATGGCACAATTCGTAACACACATACAACCGACGTTGCTGGAGGCCTCGCAGGGCCATGTACCTCATCACCATGGCCATCAGGTTGGTATGCAACACACATCACATTTGCCTCATAGCGGTCATAACATGCCATCGCCGCCAACATCGCACAATCATCACCCGCATTCGCATCATCAGCAGCATCAGCAACATCAGCCGCATCAGGAACAACAATACCACAACCACCGCCATAGCCCACCATCGCAACTGTCGTCTCCGCCAAGTGGCGCACCCATACACCATTATCACATGGGCAAACATGGGGCCAAGCATGAGCACTTTGGACATCACAGCTCTGTAAGTACATGGTAACCCAACAGCTTAGATATATGTACATTTAGCGCACCTTAGTATGTAATGTATGTGAATCTGTATCGGCATAAACATTAAAATAGATCCTTTGTGGTCTCATGCCTTAATGACTGTATATTTTGAGAGGTGATTAAGTAGTTAATATCCAGAGTATGTATGCAAAGTAGACCTCATCCTTAATGGCTTATTTACAGTTAATCAGGTGCTCATGTCAGTATTTAGATCTTAGGCATTGAAATAACATCCCTACAAATAGGATTATAATTGTCTATGTGTACAACTAATGGCTATAACATGACTGTATACCCTCTGTCCGTTAGAAGATCCGCGTGTAGAGATGTGTAGATGTACAAAGAATGACGTAATTCCGAAATGAGACAGAGATGTTGCGCAGTCAAGATTTAAATGTTGGATTTTCAACGTTGTCGCCAGTTTGGCAGCTAAAGCAATAAAGTATTTGGGTTGAAGGGCGTGAGGCATTACTTAACGCTGAGGCTATATTAACGTACGAATATGTATGTACTATGTAGCCACTGGATCAACAGAACACAATTTGTTAAAGTGATTTTTGAAATTCGCATTTTTTATTCCTCCCTCTTCTTAGTGCGCTGTAATTCGCTTTGCTCGGTATTTATCATATGAATTCTAGTTGGAAGTTCTCCAAAACACTCAGTTATGGTGACCATGGTTACGGTTCAAAATATTATATTAATATTTATTTAATTTTACAATTAACTCACATTAGACATCTATTGTTTACATTAAAACAAAAAAATATGTATATACATATATAATATGTATGCCTGTTGAAACCGGATTATTCTCCAGATTGGTGTTATTTGTAAAGAAAGAGACTTTGTCCGTTAATTATGTAAAATAAAAAGTGCTCATTGCAGGTACTCGTAGGATCCAAATCTACCTTAGGTTTGTAAATATAACACCAAACAATTTGTTTAGATACCTACAAATGCTCGTTCGAACGACTCTGTCTGCAATCCACCCTACGATCCACAACCAAATGATCGCATTAAATCCCAGAGCATAAGGGAATATAAATATCTACTTGTATTTCGCTCTCTGAGTGGTTTTGTAAAATAGTATTTAAAAATAGATTGAAATTGTTTTAAAAATTCTGCTCGAAAAAACATAAATACTTAACAAACAAGTACTCTCGACCAGAAATTTCTCGCCATAATGATATCCACATGCTTCTTCGGAACTTACAAATTGGACTTCATTTTCCTTTGCAGTATACAATTTGTTTTGCCACCGCTTGCTCGTCGTGTTATAATGTGAAAAGCCGTATTAAAAGAATTCGAAGCACTATTAATTAACATTATTGATTAACTGTTATCCAACCAACTGCAAATAAAGCTAAAAAAATGTTGTCTTTGAAGAAGCGCTTTCCATCGCTCCAAAGTTTGGGTGTAAGTGAAGAGTTCTATGTGCTAAATATTGTATATAAATAACGAGAATAAAAAATATATGGAAATTGATTATAAGCAGGTGGGCTGGCAACGAGCTGGTGAACTAAATTCGCCCTTTACAAGGTAGAACGGTAATTTTATTTTAATTGCTTGGTGAATTGTAGAAAAAACCAATTGGATGTATTACTTGAGCAAATCTAGGTAATTTGCTCCATTATGTATGCATTCTTGTATACATACATATATGTACATAAATACATATAATATGAATGTATATTAGCTTTGGCCTTAGATGTTTGTTGTAAACTTTCTGCAATATACTCGTTGTACACTTGCGACCCTGTCAGAAAATCAAAGCATGAGATGAGATGCTATTTTCGATAATTTGATAAATGAGAAGATTTGCCGCCTTAACTTTTTGGTAAATAAAAGCTAAATCGTATTATATTATAGGAGTTTACCAAATAGAGAAGAAGGATAACATAAAAATAGTAAGCGGATGACTAGCATATGAGGAACTTAATGTGAAAACTTGGAATCATATATGTATACATTACATACTAGTCATGAATCAACGGATTTTATTGTTAATGATTGTACGTTTGCGGGGGTAGCACCATGTGTTGTGTATAGAGAACAAGTGAATACTTCGATATTATTACAATTTTACACAGATGGGAGTAGCTAGAGAAATTTTTGGTCTTAGTCCAAACCAACTAACGCTGACACAATTATTTATGAAGAATATATGCTTTGGTTGGATTCGAAAAAGTTTGAAAGGAAATAAATAGTCGAGCAGCCCATACGAAGATGTACTGTCATCTTTTAAATAATGTATAGTATCCGAAAAAACAGTTCCAAATATGTTTTTTTAATGGTCTGTTTAATGTTTTTGTGTTTTGGAAGATAGGGAAAAGTGCGAAGTGCGATGGAAGTAAAAGAATTTCCAGTAAAATATGAGTCAATATTTAAATTTTTTTATATTCTCTATTGTTGCACAGAGTATAATGCTTTTGCTTCCCTATCGGTTGATTGAAAACCCTAAAGCTAATCGAGAAGGAAATGGGGATATGTATCGGGGAGAATCGAATTTTGGGTGTTTGTTTGTCGGTCCATCTGTCCATAAAAGCGCAAATTTGGACAATGGAGCCACTTTTAAGTAAAAAAACCATCAAATCACCAGCAAATAGTAAGCCAAAATTGAACCAAATCTGTACATTATTCTCTTAACATCCTTCTCACCTCAATTGAATTTTTTATGACATTTTGTAGTTTATATGACTTTATGGGATAACCGGCAAAAAAACCGGGCAAAACATAGCAAAAAATTGTTAGCTTACAGTTTCTTTAAAATTCATAACTGGTCGAGCCTTTAAAATAAACAAGTGTCATACAAGTACTTTACATACATACATAGACACGCTGCGTGTTTGCGCTTAGCGTGCGAACTGCAGTTTACCAACAATAAAAGCGCGAATTGAAGGCTAAAGCAACCCTCTTCTTAGGAAGGTTTTGCGAGGGGGCGCATGTGTTGATTGGGGTGAGACCGAAAATGCATTTGAAATTCAATTTTGCAAAAAAGCGAGAACGAGTCCTGTCGGTGAGTTTCACAATATTATGTGTCACGGAAATGCAATTTAATTTATGGACCTATGCAAGAACAATACATGTCTGTATGTACGAGGTTCGTGTTAGCGATGCAGCTTGCCAGGGTACAGGGCATGACTTTCCACAAAAACGTAAATACATATTAACATAGGTATGTACGTGTGGTAAATATTAAACGACTCAATAAAATTGGGTTCATTCCGTCAATAAAAATGGAATCTAACTTGGACCCAAAAGTACGTGTACATAATACATATGTATGTACATACTGAATGCAATTCCTTCCAGGGCTGAAAGTTTTCTCAAATAATCTGATAGACTTCTCACTCAAAAGTGTCAAATAGCCAGCAAATGCTTTCTTAAAGACATTCAACTTAGATTTTTTACTGGCATCATCGAAAAAAGAAAATCAGAATGCTTCAACATTACGAGTATCTGTAAATGTGGACTTTTAAACGACAAAGTAATATAAGGTATTCCAGAAGATATTAAGGTATCTCAATGAAATCAGGGTTGCGCATGTGCGAGCTACAGCTATACATAGTATGTATGTATTTATGTATGCACGAAAATATTTATTTTTAATTCGCTTTATATGATACTACAGAAGAAAGACGTATAAACCGGCAACTAATCAAAACAATAACAGATGCACGTGGTGAAACACAATGCATGGCACGCGACCGGCGCTTGTAGTGGCTCTCTGTAGCTGTTGATTCCTTTCGCTCGCTCTATTTCTTCGAAATGCTCTCGTATATTCCCTGTGCTTGACTTCGAAATCGCTCGTTTCGAATATGCACTGCGCAGGTCCTTCGAACATCCTGAGTCGGCAACTTGGTAGTCAGCTACTAGGATACGCTGAAGTTGCGGTCACATCCAGTCTAGAGTAAAATTTTCAAGAAATCGGAAGCAAAAATTCTTCTTAACATCAGTGGCTAAGTGAAAAAGCTATCTACCATAGAGCACTATATAGATATACATAAATATAATATATAAAATATATATATATTATTCAACACGAATTTTAAAGTATTTTAAGTAACAAATTTAGTTGAAAAAATACAGAAAAGCCTTTAAAAGGTCACTTTCAATAAGTTTTTATAAATTATCGTGCACATAAATGAAAATTTCAATCCAGGAAAAGAAATGAAAGCTATGACTAAGCAGTGACGACATCGACTTACACAATTTCTCTATACTATATAAATTTTAAGTGAAGAAAATTGCCTGTAAAACCTTCAATAAATTTAGATTTTTTACAAAATGGTCACTGAAAATGGAACCCAGGTAAATTTCTATATTTCTATTATGGTTTTTATATTAAAAGTTGAATAATTCAATTGGAAAAACACAATTTGGCTGTTGAACTATGCGGCAGCCATATTGGCGTCCATCTTTGAAAATATCGATTTTTCATAGTTGCATTGAATAATTGCTCTATCACCACTGAATTACATATTATTTGCAAGGATTTGCAAGTTTTTTTTTTTTGCAAATGTACTAATTTTCATTGATATTTATATTTTGATTATATTTAAATTAAAATTTTTGCAAGAAATGTTTATTGGGACCCACCCATCTGAGGTGGCGAAAATTTCATCGATTTTCCTATACCCTTTTGCAATGGCTGTGTGGCCAAACTACTTTCGTATACGCAATCTTTGCCGAGGTGAGGGGCAGTGCAGGTGATAGTAGAGTAATTGTGTGAAAAGTGCCAAGTGATTAAAATGGTAATTCATAAAGGATAACTAACTTTATATGCAAACATATGATAGAATTCAGTTCGTGCTTAGTATCGGGGGAACGCGTTTTTAGCATTATTTATGTATGTGTTGTGCGTGCATTAATGAGATAATTTTGCTTTGGGTGCGGCTTTAGTGTGACTTGTCAGTATGACTGATGTGCGTGTTTCGAATAGTGAACGTATCCAACATTCATGTATTTTTAGATTAACCCACTTTCAAGATATGCACCGACAATGTTTTTGCATATTTACCGTACCCGCATGTCCTTTTTGCTTATTATTGTGCACACTTTTCTGCTAAATGAGTCATATGCCATAAATTTGTGAAGGCTTTTTGGAAAATTTGAAAGGGATCTGTATATCTTCATTAGTCTTATGTACATATATAATACATATACGAGTATGTCATTATATTTAATTGCATTTTATAGTAGTTGTATGTAATTAAATATCCTCTAGGGGAAGCGAGTGATGAACTAAAGTAAGTAATATAAATTTCTTATAACCATTTTAGTAATGAGTTAGATTTATAAGACTTATATGGTATGTTCTAAAACTCTTTTACTAGTTTATATCTAGCTTGGACTATGTAATGAAATAAACGACTAAAAAGAAAGAAAAGGGATCAAAGATGATTCTGATATTAACTATAAAATGAAAGCAGCTATTACAAATATCATGAGTTCTTCTATAAGTGAGAATAAATATTTCTCAAAATTTTCAGATTCAATATTTTATTGGCTAAAAGCTGCAATCTTTGAACTCATGATAAATGGTATATCACACATTATAACGTTTTCGAAGTTAAAGTGTACGTCGCTCATTTGCAATTTCTTTTATATTCCTAAGAAAGCTCATTAACTTAAGTAAATATAATTGAAATGTGAAATTACTTCCGCTATTAATGTTCTTTCACATATTCATTCCAAAAGTGGTTTTTTAATGGAAAATGCCACGATTATCTATTCACTGTCTGCCATTTATTTCTGAGAACACTTCATTTCCAGCCGGAAGCAAATCAAAAAAAGGAAGACACGATAAGGGACGTTGAGAGTGTAATTCGTGATTAGAATTTCTCTTTCGAAATGATGACGCCATTTTCGAAAATTCGTGCTCTTTCGAAATCCAACTGTTTTGGTTTTTAAGTACATGCTCGATGTTCAACCCCTCAATTTGTAAACAAATAGCAAGTAAACAACTTTTATAGTTTACTGTTCTATCTCTGTATGTATTTCTGTATATATTTGTGAATGTATATGTACATGCGAATGCACTTGCTGACAGCTGGTTGCATTTACATAAGGGCGCTCTTCAGCTTGACATTGCAGCCGTGTAATCGACATAATTTGTTAGTTGTTGCGTGGTAGAGTGGTTGGGAGGCAACCGGTAACCTCTAATGCACCTGTGCCAGTTGAATGACCATTGGTTTTTCTGCTTTGCAGGTGGTAGGGAGTGTAATGTTCATTATGCTCTGCCAAATAGTAAAAATAAGATTGTCATAGTCACGTATAAAAATTACCGTACGCATTGAAAATTCTATAAATTTATATCTCGATCCTTTGACAAAGATACCCATGTATATTATAATTTAATGAATACTTCTCCATAAAGTCCTCAATATGCACTCAAAGATTTTTGGTTACTTTTGATACAGGGCGATGGAAACACGTCATTTTTACGCGCTGCCCGAGCTGGTAATCTAGAACGAGTTTTGGAACATTTAAAAAATAATATTGACATTAACACCAGCAACGCTGTAAGTATATATTTTCATACCGCCGACCGATGTATACAAAGTTTCTAATTAAAACAATTTCTTTGGCTGTAAAATTAGAATGGCTTGAATGCACTGCATTTGGCTTCAAAGGATGGACATACGCATGTCGTTTCGGAGCTGTTGAAACGTGGCGCTATTGTAGATAGTGCAACAAAGAAGGGCAACACAGCATTACATATTGCTTCGCTGGCTGGGCAGGAAGAGGTGGTGAAACTCTTGCTTGAACATAATGCTGCCGTGAATGTACAGTCGCAGAACGGCTTTACGCCACTCTATATGGCTGCGCAGGAGAACCACGATTCTGTAGTAAAGTTGCTACTGGCCAACGGTGCCAATCAAAGCTTGGCTACTGAAGATGGGTTCACGCCGCTGGCAGTAGCTATGCAGCAAGGACACGACAAAGTCGTCGCCGTGCTCTTGGAGAGCGATACACGCGGCAAGGTGCGCTTGCCTGCATTGCATATTGCGGCGAAGAAAGACGATGTGAAGGCCGCCACACTACTTTTAGATGTGAGTATGCAGTGAATATGAAAACATTGTGTTCTCTAATATGAAACTTTCGAAATTGGGTTTCAACACCATCTTACAGAACGACCACAATCCTGACGTCACTTCCAAATCTGGCTTTACACCGTTGCACATTGCTTCCCACTATGGCAATCAAGCCATCGCTACCTTACTCATTCAAAAGGGTGCCGACGTCAATTTCGCCGCTAAACACAATATCAGTCCGTTGCATGTTGCTGCAAAATGGGGTAAAACCAACATGGTTTCCTTGCTGTTGGAGAAAGGTGCTAACATAGAAGCCAAAACACGCGATGGTTTAACCCCGTTGCATTGTGCGGCTCGTTCCGGTCACGAGCAAGTTGTCGACATGCTATTGGAACGTGGCGCCCCGATTAGCGCTAAAACGAAGAACGGTCTCGCACCGCTGCATATGGCAGCGCAGGGTGAGCATGTAGATGCCGCTCGCATTTTGCTCTACCATCGTGCACCCGTTGATGAAGTCACCGTGGACTATTTGACGGCGCTACATGTGGCAGCGCATTGCGGGCATGTGCGTGTCGCTAAGCTATTGCTTGATCGCAATGCCGACGCCAATGCACGTGCACTCAACGGTTTCACGCCGCTGCACATTGCCTGCAAAAAGAATCGTATAAAGGTGGTGGAGTTACTGCTGCGCCACGGCGCTAGCATTAGTGCCACAACAGAGAGCGGCTTGACGCCGCTGCACGTAGCGGCTTTTATGGGCTGCATGAATATTGTCATCTACTTGCTGCAACATGACGCTAGTCCAGATGTGCCGACCGTGCGCGGGGAGACCCCACTCCATTTGGCCGCACGAGCAAATCAGGTAAGTGTTAGCGGGATGGATAGGCGAAAAGGCGTATCTCTGATTGAAATTAATAACGCTTGCTTGCCTTTACAGACTGATATTATACGCATTTTGCTGCGCAATGGTGCTCAAGTGGATGCACGTGCACGTGAACAGCAAACACCGTTGCATATCGCCTCGCGACTCGGTAACGTAGATATTGTCATGCTATTGCTGCAGCATGGCGCTCAAGTGGATGCCACCACCAAAGATATGTACACTGCATTGCATATTGCGGCCAAAGAGGGTCAGGATGAGGTAAAGCAATTGATTGCGAAAAAAATTGTGGACCACATTGATACGGTTTATTTGATGCAATTGTTTTGGATACGCCATCAGGAGTATTTCATTTGATCTATAGTTTCTTTTTTAGTTTTTACTCATTTTATGTACACCTAGTTTAAGTTTTGTTTCAATCTAATGTCACCTAAGTTCTTGTTATTGTTGTTACTATTTTTTGTTCCAAAAAACACTGCTCTGTCAGATAGGGTCAGTTCACACTGAAGCTACAAATGTGGTTTCGAAAAAGTATGTTAAAAAATATCAGAAAATGGCAAACACGTGGTATTTTTTTTAGAAACAACAATTTTTAAATCCAATTTTTTTCCACTTAATTCGAGGTTTGCCTTATGTTTTCAGTATATCTACAAAAAAAAAAAAAAATTAAAAGAAAATCAAGTTGTTTTTTACAAAACAATTCTAAAAGTTTTCTCACATTTTTTTAAATTGGTTTAGTATTTAATTTATTTACACAAAAGGTTTTGTCCAAATAATGTATTCATCAGTGATACATTGAAAACTGATATAGTATTTAAATTTTGCCGTTAAGTTATTTCTTTAGTATTTTGTAAAAACATTAAAGTGATCTTTTATTATTTTTGTTATATTCGCTTCAAGTTTGTTTAATGTACGTTGTTCTGATTATACTGTTATTATTTATTTGTTGCCTCAATATAATGTTTAATAAATTATGAAATAAACAATTTTCATTTTGTATTATTCCTGTAGCAATCCCTGATAAATTTTTAACCACACATATAATATATTTTTAAGAATACACGAAGTATTGTAAATGTTATTCTTCAGGTCGCTGCCGTTTTGATCGAAAATGGCGCAGCTTTGGATGCTGCTACGAAGAAGGGCTTCACACCATTGCATTTGACAGCCAAATATGGTCACATCAAGGTTGCTCAATTGTTGTTGCAAAAGGAGGCCGATGTGGACGCACAGGGGAAAAACGGAGTTACACCATTACATGTGGCCTGTCACTATGATAATCAAAAGGTCGCTCTTTTGCTGCTGGAGAAAGGTGCCAGCCCTCATGCTACAGCTAAAAATGGGCATACACCGTTACATATTGCAGCACGTAAAAATCAAATGGACATTGCTACAACACTTTTGGAATACGGCGCACAGGCTAATGCCGAGAGCAAAGCCGGTTTCACACCATTACATTTGAGCTGTCAGGTGAGTAATTGGATGCACAAATGTATGCATCTACACCTAAAAACATGGGTGAGAGAAGAGATAGCTTGTGTTTTGCATTAGCTAGTGATTACCAACCCAAATGTAGTTTTCTCTAACAAAAATAATATAATTCCACAGGAGGGGCATGCTGAGATATCGAATTTGCTAATCGAGCACAAGGCCGGTGTAAATCATCCTGCCAAGAATGGCCTTACTCCAATGCATTTGTGTGCTCAAGAAGACAATGTGAATGTTGCCGAAATTTTGCAACGCAATGGCGCCAACATCGTCATGGCCACAAAAGCCGGCTATACACCACTGCATGTTGCCGCACATTTCGGTCAGGCAAATATGGTGCGCTTTTTGTTGCAGCACGGCGCTAATGTAGACGCGGCCACATCTATCGGTTATACGCCATTACATCAAACTGCTCAGCAAGGACATTGTCATATCGTTAATCTGCTTTTGGAGCATAAGGCGAATGCCAACGCTCAGACGGTCAATGGGCAGACCCCGTTACACATTGCACGCAAACTGGGCTACATAAGCGTTTTGGATTCGTTGAAGTCGATTACAAATGAGCCGGATGCGGCAGCACAAACTCAAACCGATGAGAAGTATCGTGTCGTTGCACCGGAGGCAATGCATGAGTCATTTATGTCCGATTCGGAAGAAGAAGGCGGTATGTTCAAATACTTTAAATACTATTTTAATAAATATCTTTGTATTTTGTACATACTATGTATGAACATTTGTACGAGCATATGAGATTTCATTTACATTTGAAAAAAAAAAAAAATTTTGCTTGGTTCAACATCTCGTGTGTAACATAACGCACCCTTATATTTCATTTAAACATATGCATAGATAAACAATGGCTTTACAACACTTCATTCAATTAATAGTCCAGATGTATTTTGAGTATGTTAGACCTGAAATACTTGTATGTAAAACCGGTATAAAAACTTTGACATGCTACTCGAATAACACAATGCGAAGCACTCCACACAACACGAAGTTAAACAATCTTACTTTATCCATTGTATGCATACCTATCCTCATTATACTCTGGTATAATATTCGAAACAAACTTGATAAATTCAAAACAAATTTAAAAGTGACAGTTCTATACTTTAAATATATATTTTTTTTGTACAACAAACTGTGTCTCAGGTGACACAAACGATTGGGATCCTTGTTATGGCATTAAGGGTGATCAAAATACGAATGAAGACCACGTTTACCTTCCATATTACCAGGGCGAAGCATTCTTTATGTCTAGTAAGTCTCATACACTGAGCTTTACACTTATTAGCAGTATTGAAAATGTACACTGAATTAAGCAAACATATTCGTTTTCCTTAAGTAACCCTTAAATAGAGGAGCTCCTTATAAAGTGTGTGTGTGTGGTAGTGTTTCCATTGAAGCTCGTATTTTAGTGAACGATAAAAGCAATCGGTTTATGTTTGAAAATAATTAGTAACATGTCAAAATTTTTAGACCACCTTTCACACTTTACGGGGATATACATATTTAAATACATACCATAGATATGTACATATACTAGTCGCACATACGACAGTGTTTATATTACACAAACTTATTAAATGCCTTTAGGTGCTCGCATAAAGAATATTCGGTTTACTAACACGGATAATTATAATTGAAGTCTGGATATTCGGATAGTGGGCACTAGGCGAATGAATATGCATGATACTAGGGTGATGAAAAACTCTGTATTTAAATTCTCGTATTTCTGGAATTGACAATGGATTCATACACTAGGAGGATTAGTAAATTTCGTTTTTAAAACTTCTTTGCAAACTGCAAAGTTTTTATCATTTCATTTAAAAATTTATGATTTAGGCAAAATTTCATTTTACCATTCAATATACCATATAGAACAGAGCATCAATTATAAGGATATTCACAATTTTAGATGCCGTTTCCGTAGTACGATTAGCTTTTCGTTATCTTTCGAAACCCATTTCATGTAACTGCTCTTTTTCAAATGGGTGATTTCGCCCTCAAACGTTCCCATAATGTTGTGTAATATGTTCCGAAACGTGCTTTTAATATTTTTAAATGGCAACTATCTTAATAAATTTTATTTTACGGTCATTCGATATAATTTTCTAGAGTTTTTGGTGCTTTCGTTGACAATCGTTAAATTATTTTAAATTATAAGGGTCACCCTAGTGTTATGAATATGCATACATGTACATAAATCATGTTATCCTCTATATATTTTTCTTGTATAAATTAACCGTTTCTTGGTGTTGTTGTAAATGAAAAAAATATTCTACACAGACTTATTTATGTAATTAAATATACATACATACATATGTACACACATTAAAATACACGAAATTATATTTCAAGTCCTATTCACTTTGCCAATTTTCTGGCCAAAATTATAAAATTAAATACAGATCAATGACGGATCAAGGAATGAAATAAAACAAAATTCATAATATGGAAAAGTTCTCAACCGCAAAGGAAGCGTATATAATTGGGGTCCGGGGAATAAAATTTGTATTATATTGGACAGTGTTTACGTATAATATACAGAGAGTCTTATTACTGATATAAGCTCAAAGACTTATGGCTTATATATTACTTACTATGAAACGCGTTTGTGGGGTACCATTTTGATTGGAGCGTCCAACGAAGCGTTCCAAATTATAAGTCTGCCATCAAAATTCCGTTCTGTAGTCTATGTAGTTATTCGACATCTACACTGCTGTGTTCTTTTGTTTTCATCACTTCAGTACCTCAACATAGGAAAACATTTAAATTTTTTTATAAACAACTACATACGTATGTATATGTGAACAGTTTTCAATACCTGTACATAGAAAAAAATATTTAAATTTTTTGTAAACAACTACAATACATACGTATATGTGATCATTTAACTTACGTAATCCTCAGTTCAGTTTCCTTTCACTGCAATGCGTTATCAGCTTTCATATTTAATCCGAAAGATTATTGATTATGCATGTGTGTTTGCCATTCAAATTAAAATGAAATCTTTGCATATCTTTATTTATGTTTCCTAAATTTTTTTTTGCACTGTTCGCTCCGACACCGCTATTGAACTGCAATAATAAATCGAAAAAATCGGATTGTAATGGAATGCCAATCAAATACAATTTTAAAACTCGTCAACTTACCACAACACATCCACCTCCACCAGGCGAAGATAATATGTTATCCGATCAGCCTTACCGTTATTTGACAGTTGATGAAATGAAATCCTTAGGCGATGACTCCTTGCCAATCGATGTTACACGTGATGAACGCATTGACTCCAATCGCATGATGACCCACAGTGCTGAGTATGCTGGTGGAGTCGGGGCCCCATCGCAACCGCAGGCCATCGCAGAAGAGCTTATAAGTCCACACAAGGCTCAAGTACATGGCATTGGGAAATCTTTTGTGGACGGTATTTATATGAGTAATGGTCTTAATGAGGAACAAAAATATATGGGGTGAGTTGCAAAAATGAAAAATTTATTAACAAAACTGAGCACGTAAGTTTACTTATGAAACTCTGTTTATATGCAGCCGAAAGCTTTCCTGGAAAAGGTACATAAATCATTTTTAACCCATTATGTGTATTTATAAGAATTTATAGTTCAATTTAAAAAGTGCATATTTATCTTCTTAAACAAAGATAGCAGTAATTGAGTTGTTGTACGACATAATTAAGATCTTTTCTTTTTTGTAGTATATAATGCACCCATATTTTTTTTGAATCTTACAGTTTCCTTGTATCGTTTCTGGTGGATGCTCGTGGAGGCGCCATGCGTGGCTGTCGTCACAGTGGCGTACGCATGATTATACCTTCGCGCTCCACTTGCCAGCCGACGCGTGTAACTTGTCGTTATGTTAAACCTCAACGTACCATGCATCCACCGCAGCTAATGGAGGGCGAAGCTTTAGCCAGTCGTGTGTTGGAGCTGGGTCCTGTGTCCACCAAATTTATTGGTCCTGTTATCATGGAAGTACCACATTTTGCTTCGCTTCGCGGCAAAGAACGCGAAATTATCATCTTGCGCTCAGATAATGGCGAAACCTGGCGAGAACACACCGTCGACAATTCGGAAGAAATCATGCATGATGTGTTGCAACAATGTTTTGAACCCGAAGGTAATCTATCAGCAAAAGTTTGTAAATGTGTACTGCATTGTTAATGTTTTTTGACATCCATAGAAATAGCACAACTTGAGGAGCAAGGTGGCAATCATGTTTGCCGATTTGTTACCTATGACTTTCCACAATACTTTGCTGTGGTCTCACGTATACGCCAAGAGGTGCATGCCATCGGACCCGAAGGAGGAATGGTATCCAGCACAGTGGTGCCTCAAGTGCAGGCTGTTTTCCCGCAAGGTGCACTCACCAAAAAGATCAAAGTGGGCTTGCAGGTAAATCTCTTTAAACCACGCAAAGGTGTTGCACCAGAAAAATTGCGCAAAATCAGCGTTAATCATGTTCCAAAGAAGAAGCGTTTTTCACTTATTTGGTAAACTTCATATGTAATAGATCAATTACTATTTATATAAAAAAATGCTTACTCATATAGAAGGAAGAATATACTTCATCATAACAAGTTATCAAAATTAGTAAAAAAAAAAATAGGACAACATAACGTTGCAGATAAATATCTATAAAGTATTCTCATCATGATTTATGATGTCATAAAACATAATCAATACGCATTTATATTATGGAGAATACATAACCGCAAACTAAGATGTTGGTAAAGAATTTGAACCTAAACATAAGATTTGGTTATGCACCATAATGTCTTCATCCAACAGAATGTAGTAAAGTTAGTATGTTTTGGAATTACTGTTATTTTATGAAAAATACTTTTTGTCTTACCGAAGTATTGATATTTTGCCTAATTTGAAGGGATATTTTGTAAAAAGTAAATAATATATTATTCGTAAATCAACAATTTCGGTCAATTTTCAACATGCAAATTATGTTATAAGCCATCTATTTATCACTTATAACTAGCCTAAAAGTAGCTTAGTATGTAGATATCACTTATCGCCTATATCTTCTCTTGCTATCCATTTGATTTAAAATAGGCGAAAATATTAATTTTCACAATTTGGAATTTTAGTTAGACACTTTATAAAAGTAAATAAATGCAGCGCAAACATACAAAGAATGTAATATTAGAAAACGAAAATAGCTTACGAAAATGGTCCATATCATCAAATAACTGAAAATCAAAGAAAAAAGAAGAGACTGATAAACCAAGATTCAATGCAATGGGATTGTTAATCAACAGACGCAGCAAACACATTGCTAGGGAAGAGGCATAAAACTGCTGACCTTTGCTATGCTATTTATGAAGTATACCCTCTCCTCTATAACATTTTTTATTTTTTTTTAATTATTAAGTAAAATTTATGAGATGAAATGTTTAAAATAAGGCGATGCAATTTATTGTCACCAGGCTAGAAATATGCAACTATAGAATAAATATGGTCTAATCGAATAAGTAAACTAACGCACTATTACATTTAGACTCATTTGAGAAATATTTGTATTTGTTCTATCCTATTTAACATATGTATTGTATGTTTGTGTATGGACGTATGTATGTATCATTTGTATGTTCTATACCTTATATTAATTATTCATTACTCAATATCTATAATTAAAGTTAAACTTAATGGATAAATCAAAAATACCCAATAAATTTAGTTTCAGTATAAACTTTAAATCAAAATGTTTTTTGTTTTGTTGGTGTGCATTTACTTAATCGTTTTACGCTTCTAAGAAGTGGTACACAGCAAGCGTGCGGTGAAATAATAAAACACAAAGCCTCAAAAATGTTAAAACACAAAGCCACACAGTAAATAGTTTATGCAATTGGGTCTGGATTAGTGTGCCTCGAATGTGCCAAAGCAACTTACAAATATATCGCATATACTCGTATACAAAATGATTTTTCAATGGCCCTTAAGAAGATAATTATTGTAATTAGAATATTTTAACACATACAAGTAAAAAAGTTTATTAACAATGTAGTTTTTAAAGTTTATTTGATAACTAAATTTATTGGGAAGCTAATGGGACTGAACATTTGTAATATCAGAAGTCGCCGATCAAAATAGTAGACAACACTACAGTATACTAAACAAGTGAGAGCTTTGTATACGTATGTACATATGAGGTACGCTTCCATGTGTGTATATAGGAAAATGCTCAGCAATTAGCTCAGAAGCCCTAACCGCTTCTTATATTTCATATAAACACATAAAATTTAATGAAAATATGGTATAATATACAAGTAATTTATAAATAACGTAAATCACAAAATTTTTGTACAATTATGCATACCTTTGTCGCTTCAATACGCTCTACTTTCTTTGTTCTTCCTTCTGCACCACTTGTACTTTAGTCTTAAGTGGCCATTTTCATGTTGAAATAATCATTTGTATATATAAGAACAAAACGATAAGCTAACGAAAACTCACAGTTAAACATAAAATAACAGCAATGGTAATCACAAAAATGTATCGACCATTTCTTGTGTTTACCTCATTCTAGGCACAACCAGTCGATCCAGATCTGACTGCTAAACTACTTGGCCGCGGTGTGGCCGTATCGCCGATTGTAACGGTTGAGCCACGACGCCGCAAATTCCATAAGGCCATCACATTGAGCATGCCTGCACCCAAGGCACATAGCCAGGGTATGATAAATCAATATTCCGGCAATACACCCACGCTACGACTACTCTGCTCCATAACAGGTATGTTTACACAGTTCTTTTCGTTCTATTATAATCGAGCCTTAGCAAATTCAAATAAGTCTTGAAAAAGAAGAAGAAGAAGATAAAAACAAACTATTCGTTAATATTTACTTAAAATAAGATTTGTATTTGTAATTTATCTTAGGTATTTAGTTTACGTTTGTCTTCATTTGTTCGTTTGGATAAATACTTGTACTTGAGTTAAGTTCATTTTATTGTTTTTAGTTGGATTTTTAACTAACTTTTTAACTTTCTTTGTATTTGGTTTTTACATATTTGAAATGACAAAATTTATTTTTATAAACTACATACTCACATAATTCTGTATAATCTTTTGTAACCTTCTTAACCACCTAAGTCGGTCGTAATGTTGAGAGAGCCATTTCAGTCATTGATATTTAAACTGCCTACAGACCCAAATACCAAGTTTGAATACCTCTGAATCGCACCAAAATAGTGTTTTGTAACGGTTTAGCAGCATCAACTATTAAGATCAATACATATACATATATGCATTTATAGATATGTACATTATGTATACACAACTGCATTTATTTATTTCATTTTCTACTTGTATATTTATGTATTTTTTCATAAATAAATACATGTTCTATGTGCTAAAGCCGTCCATATCAATATTTAAGCTATCATAAGTGCGATTTACTTAAATACTGACATATATACATGTATGTGTGCATCTTCATTATTTTTCGTTATTTTTTCAAGTCAATGTTAGATAAGTCTAGTACCAGAACCAATACATGACCCAAACTAATGTCGCCAAATTTGCAGATAATATTATGTAATAAGCCAAAGTAATTTGTAAGCAAAAGCTTCAAGTGTGAGGGATGATAAAAAAAATTTTGAGAGTTAAAGAGCATGATAGATGTATATAAAATTATATAGCGGCATATGCACATGCGCTTGAATGTGGGAGAGTTTAGAGTTAAGAGACTCTAAAGCTTCTTCAACAGAGAAATTCTAATATAATCAAAGCGAGGATTACTTAATGGCTCGAGGGTTCAAAGGAATTTATTATTTACGTTTAATTACAGATCCATCAAAATCGGACTGGTTTTGACGGATGTGTTTATCTCAAATCTTTGACTTGTTATAGCAATTAATTATGAATACTTCTCCATGTGATTAAGAGGCTGGTAGTTAAACTTCGGCGAACCCACTTACGTAGAGTGTGTTGCGGTGTAGGGTATTTTGATGGTTATTAGATGCTAAGTTGTTAGGTACCTGTAAGTACTCACCTTTCACTCGTTTTGTCCATCGTCTTCTGTTTGCTATGTTTGTGTGTTCTTGTTGTTTTATGAAAACCTCCATTTGCCGGGAAACACCTCAAATATATAGTAGAAATTTAATCAGTAAATACACAAGAACGGTCATCAGCATTTTGCATTAACACACTCCTTCATTTTTATTTAAAATGTTTTTCGTTTGATATTTTGGTTTCTTATTATTAGTGAAGTACATAAATGCCCTTATAGATATTAGGATAGTCATATACTAACATATTGTAATTATAGATCGCTCATGTACCCAACAACTATATAAATAACTTCATGAAAATTAAGAATTAAACAAGAGACAATTTAATATCTTATTCAGTAGATAACCTATATAATATGAATGTTTATTTAGTGAGCATACAGCACACAGATTTTGTTGATACGTGTGTATGTATGCATGTACGTAAAAAAGTACATAATCACATACTCAACATGTCAGTAAAAGCTAGAAAATAATTACAAAAAAAATTGCGTGTTTTCGCTTAAATTGTTTTCAAATTATCATTCTATCACATTATGGTTGTATGTATTACTTCGCATAAGATTTGGTTTTCTTTTAAATAAACTAAATTAATACGCAAGATCATACGTAACACTTGTACAATCCCAATTTTCTTGCATTAACAATTAACACAAAAACATTTGTAACACCACTCACACACCAAAACTTACACACATTCGTTCAAACATATCTACATACATATGGAATCGACTCATATGCCAACAATATGAGGTTAACAATAATTTCGTTCCTTTTTCGATAATTTTTAATTAAATCGAGTTTAGCTTTTCGTTAAAAATTATTAAGTTATTAAAGTTTGTTTCGTTTATTTCGGATTGCCTATGTTGTTTTTCTCTGATTTAGATTTCAAAATGTATTCGATTCGTATATAATTTTGTACTAATGCGTAAATGCATATGTGCACGCATACCATTCTTTTATTCCATCATTGAAGGTGTGTTTCGGAAAAGATCTCTAAAAGGTAACTAGCAATTTCAAAATCACAAACATGTATGAAATTTCAAGTTCAATTAAGACAGACAAAAGCATTTTTGTATTTTGAGTTATTGTTATTAGATTTACATACATATATCTGATGCCCAAAGTTCAAATCTAATTTTAAAAACAAAAACAAAAAAAAATCAATTAATTAATTACACGAAATCAAGAAAAAAATTAGTTTGATAAATACTGAAATGAATATATGTACGATTAATTTTACGATTTCGACCAAACAGCTCCAAGTTCTATAATATTCCAATACATAAATATATAATATGCTTTGAAGCAAAATTTATCTACGAAATATATGTACTACCTAAGTTTGTTTGGTTTGTTGGACTTCATTTCTATAATTTTGATTTGCTTTTATTTTTTCACAAATATGCAAATTTTGTTATATTAATTTAATTATTTGTTCAGCAATTCATATAATTAGTAAGCGAATGTCTTAAGCGTCGTTTTCAAAACTTTTTATTAAATTAATGCTGGGGTTGTCAAGTTGTAAAATTATGATCACGAATTCAAGAAAAATATATGTACAATATACTACTATACCGATTTAAAATCCGCGGGGCATAGCCGCTACTTACAAATATGGATAGTTTTCCTTCAAACATGTTTATATGGCTTTTATTTTTGAAGTAATGTGCGGGTATTTATTCGCCGTAAATGAATCAATGTAAATAAAATTAACTACTCCTTTACTTCACCAGACAACTTCTGCATAATTTAAAATAAATAATAAACTATTTGGAAGCTATTTCATAAATTTCGAAGGCAAAGCACCATTTACTTGTTTTGTTTGATATTAAATACGAGCTATACACGAATGCACAGCGAATGTATACGCTATTAAAGTACTAACTAACAAGAGATAATTAAATCTTTAAGCTTTGCTTTAATTTTTTAATTTGTAAACAAAGCGCGATTTTTATAACTGAAATAAAAGAACTTTTCAATAAATTTCTGCACAAATAGGTTAGGTTACCTTTTCACATTATATGAAAAATAATCACCAAAAACAGTTTTCACTGCAAGTTACTCTTTGGTCCAAAATAATATTAAACACTTTCTTAAAAAGTTGGCTTTAATTTGAAATTTAAATGCTATTATTATTATAATTTTTTACATCGAAATAGAAAATGTTAGATGATTTTCGTGAATTAATTTGATTCAAAATAGCTCAATTAAATGAAGTAGGGAAATGTAAAAAATTGCAACCATTTTATAGGCAAACCAAACACTATTTCAAAAATGACGACCCCATACCGATAGGGAGAAATCAAGTAAGCCCAAAGAAATTCATTGGTTGTTGGGGAAATGCACACATAGTAACTGTAAAAATTACTTGTTTTAAAGATTTATTGTTTTGATGTTAATACAATTGACAAAATATTGGTACTTACAAATAGGAGTTTTTATACTTAACTGGTTTTCATTACAATCCATGTTGGTGAATTATCACATTATGGGCATGGTTCTTGTAGTTTGTCTCCGATAGGTTTGAAAGGTATTATAATATTTAAATGATAGAAGAATCACAGATGCCGCCTTTCTCTTCCACTGACAATCTGATAGTTTGAAAGATATTTCACTTTAGCTAAAGTACATTTACACACATACATACTTCTCCTAGCATTCTCAACGAGCTGTATAAAATTATGGTTTATCAAAATTTTTAATGCGTTTGTTAGAACGAAAGTTATTCTATTTTGTACATATGCATGTACGTTTCAAATTAATTAAGATTTGCACAAGTTACTATACAATTAAAGAGCAAGTTACTTTATTTCCAAATCGTTTTGTACACCATTGATATTTATTTTGCAAATTTTATGATTATGTGTATACATATATTTTTACCATATATATTTTAGTCTGATGAATATGTGAATATTTAGTCTGATTTAAATTAAGTTTTAAAGTTTAAAATTTAATTTATATTAGACATTTTTTTTATCTAAAAAACAAAAGACAGACATATAGAGCTGATCAATGAGAGTGTAGCATTTACTTCAAAATCAATACCAAAAACTTAGATTTTGTTTCAGAACTTCATAGTTATGTCAACTAAACTAAAAATGAAATTAAAAATTTCGAGAAAAGTTTCAGTGTTTAACAGTATTTCTTACCGTTCTTAAAAGGATTGGTTAAATAATTAAAATAGGGGAAGACAGTTAAATAATGAGGATTGTGAACAAAATCGAAAATTTGATTCTGACGGCATGGTAACAAGTTGGTCATTCTTAAATGTTATGTGTTAGAATATAAAACGAAAACAGTTTGAGTAATCATTAAAATGTACTGGCCCAATGCCCAGTGCTTGCAGGCATGCTTTGCTTGAACTGTCGAAAATTTATTTAAATATACTAAAATGTATGACCAGTTCACAATATGGGTAATATAGCTATCAAAGTAACGTTAACAAGGCTACTCTAATAATTAGGGCTACGTTTCAGATGTTGAAAAAGATCTTAAAAAGTTCTTATTATTCGGGAAAAGTTCCCATCAAGAAGTAAATTTTATTACCTAGTTTTATCTAAGTGTATTAATTTCGAAATTAATTTATGTTAAATTTTATAACTTTACTTAGTTCTTTTGCACATATGTCAAAAATAAAATGAATTAACAAACGTAACTTTCAAAGTAATAATTTTAATTTTCTACTGTTTGTGGTACCAAAGAGAACTTTTCTGAAAAGGGGAGCCTCTACATTATTCGAAACTATTTGGCATTTGCATACATTCTAACTAAATAGTTGTGTTGTGATATTTTGAAAAGTGCTATTCATTCGCATAATTCGAAAATTTTCACTCGAAAGTAAGAAACAATTCACAAAAATTTCATAAAAGTTCAGTTATTGCGAGCAAGAAATACAAACGAAATACATAAATATGTCAAAAAATAGCGCAGCTTATATAATTCACATTATTTTCATGCATTATGAACTTAATTATATCTTTTCGTCTTCATATAATTTTAAATTCCATTACTTTGTTAACTTTCTCCAAATTCGTTTTATATGAATTTTCCTTTCTAATTATTTATTTTAAAGTTGACTATTACTCATTATTTCTTAAATATTTTTTTGCCTTCAAACACTTACACGAAAGAAACAACAACAAAATATTCACATTCCATTGATTTTAATCAATAAAGCGCATGTTTTAAAATGTTGTTTAGAAAAAATGAAATAAAATTAAAAAACTATGTATAATAGCGATAAAATAGCTTTAAGCTGATCTGTTTATTGAAGTATAACCATTTTGAAAGCAATATACTCGTACTTATATATATATATATATATGTGTACATATATTTAATGCTATTTAGCGCTAACTTACAAAGCTGCTTGACAATTGCGATTTTAACTCAGTTTTACATTTTGCATCCATACCTCACAGTTTCTAACTAAGTTTCTTCTATCTCCTTTAGAAGCTTTTCATTAAGCTTTTTTGTTTGTGTTTATGTTTATTTCATTTAACAGCGACACCATTTTAATAATTGATTTATTTCTTGGGTTCATTGAAAACATTTTTTACAACTCTATTTCCTTATGTTTTTGCTAATGAATTTGTAGTAGAAAAACAAAAACAATAATTATAAGATACATTTTTTTGTCGAATAGCCTCGTTGGCGCAAGGATCTTACATTTTGTGGAATTGTCTTTTTTGTATGTGTCGCTTGATTTAGGTGGACCGTCTCGCGCGCAATGGGAAGACGTTACCGGTTCCACACCGCTGACCTTCGTGAATGATTGTGTTTCGTTTACGACTACTGTTTCTGCACGATTTTGGTTAATGGACTGCAGGAACATTTCCGAGGCTACCAAAATGGCAACCGAACTATACAAGTGCGTATTTAGATTTCGAAAGCATACTACTACTTTTACATAAATACATACATACCTATATACAGCTAGATACATACATATGTATATCACAATGGACATTTAAATAAGAGGCACACACTGACGTTTCATAATGATATATAATTCATACAAATAGTTTTCAAAATAAATGTCTATGGAGTTTAATTTTAAATGATATGAAATATTGCGACACGTCTGCAATTCTTTATGAAAAAGATTGTTCATCAAAATTAATATTCTTTATTTGACAAAATTATGAACTGATTGCCCTCATTTTTGTTAGATACGTTAGCTAACCGATTTTGTGAAGTGCACAGCTATAGCGTGTTTCAGATTGTTATTTGAGATATTTATATTACAAAAAATTCTTCACCTTTCTTCGACGCCCTGTGCGAAATTTCACTTAGCAGCCTACTTGGCTAATGAGTTATAATGCTTTATGTTGAACCAACCTCAAGGGTAGGCAAGTGCTACGAAGATTAACACGGTGCAGACGAATGGTCGTAAAAACAGAATCGTTATTCTAAGAATTTCGTTAAATAGTACATACATATCTAGTATAATATATGCCGCATGTTCAATGGAACACAATGCCGAATATATTTCCGAATTATTATTGTTAAACGCTTTTATATAATGACAGAACTTTTTATTTAGGGAGGTAATACATGTGCCATTCATGGCCAAGTTTGTAGTCTTCGCAAAGAAAGTGGAACCCTACGAAGCACGTTTGCGTGTGTTCTGCATGACCGATGATCGTGAGGATAAAACTCTAGAAAAGCAAGAACTCTTTACAGAAGTTGCCAAGAGTCGTGACGTTGAGGTGCTGGAGGGGAAACCACAATATATTGAAATGGCGGGTAACTTAGTACCAGTCACTAAATCTGGTGATCAATTGCAATTACAATTCAAAGCGTTTCGGGAGAATCGTCTACCATTCACTGTACGTGTGAAGGATCAACACGCTGACATTGTTGGACGTACATTATTCATGAAGGAACCAAAAGTTGCCAAAGGCGAGCCACCGCAACATCCCATCTGTATTTTGAATATCGTGTTACCGGATATTGTTATACCGGACACAACTACCGAATTCAGTGATAAGATCACTACCACCTATCGAAGCTCCCTATTTAGTTTAAGTAAACATCAGAATGATCACTATATCGGCGATATACGTATTGTGGATTTGTCTAATTTGCTAGGCAAGGATTGGATACAATTAGCCTCTGAAATCGGTATAAGTACGGAGGAGATTGATGACATAATAAATCAAAATACTGATAGTATTGCGCGGCAGGCCCAAAGCATGATCCGTCTATTCAAGGATAAACCAAATTATGATATTCACGCCTTAGAAGATGCGCTCAAAAATATTGGACGTGAGGATATTATGAAGAAGTGTAAAAGTGGGCGACTTTCGCATTCGCGTGACTTTGACGAAACTGATATTATGAAGAATTCCGAATCGGTGGAGGAGCTTGTGCGACAAGAGAGTAAGTAAAACATTGTTACATTTATTTAATATTGTTGTGCTAACCAGTTATATTATATTTTAGGTAAACGGATTCAACAGATTCACGATCTCGAGGAAGTTAAATATTCGGCCGAAGAGAAGGAAGTGGAAGAGTCCGAATCAGAAGAGGAAATCACGAAGCGTACAGTTGCTGAACGACGTGAGAAAATTGTGAAACGACTCTCAATAGAACGACAAATACCTGCTTCATCACAGAAGAAAGAGATCTCACGCGAAATTTCCGAAATAAAACGTAAGAGCCTTATCGAGGATAAAAAGGCTATACATGAATCGGAAATCATGATGCAATTACCAACAGATAACATAGTTAAGTCAACCGTTGCTCCCGACCAAGTAATGAAAATGAAAATGGGTAAAATGGATTCTGCTGAGATAAGTAAAAGTGATTTTGATAAGGAATTGACGCACAAATTAAAGACATCCGGACGGAGTTCTGAAGAGGAAGATTCAATAACAGAATACAAGAACGTTGAGGACGATGAAAATTTGAAAGTAGTACAAGATATCAGCGGAGTCGAAAAGTCAAAGAAGCGCCAGGACTCGCCGATAGAGTCAGGACAAGATACAACTAAGCAACTAACCGCAGACTTCTTAAATGCTGAAAAGCAGACTCAACTTCCAGTCGATATAACATTTAGTGAGAAGTTTGTTGAAGAGGTAAAGGAAAAAGAAATGAAAAGTACCGAATTGGATGAGAAATCGAGTCAGAAGATTGAAAAAATTATATCTGTATTTGAGGGTGGCAAATCTGACGAGAAAGATGGCACTGTTAGCAAAACGTCCACTATAACGGAAACCATTCAATTTGTCACGGAAGATAAAGTAAAGGGTACCTCCATTGAGGACAAAATTGCTGATTTCGAAGCAAAAGGAGTTACTTATGATATGAAATCAGTGCTACCAAAAGATGTAAAGAAACACGAAGATACACACGAAGCACACCAAGAACCCGTTAAGTCATTTGAAAAAATATTAACAGAAGATTTTTTAGCGATAGAACAAAAGTCTCACATGTCACCAGTAATTAAATCTATTCAAGAAATTACTACTGCCGTTCAATTAGCAAAAGATAATGCAAGTATAATAGAAACCGCCCTAGCAGCTCCAGTTGCCGAAAAGAGAACATCACTTTCTGAGAAAGCGTCAGAGCCAATAACACGTTCATCTATTGAAACACAATCATCAAAATTCATTAAACCAGATGACAAAGAAGTGCAGGTCTTTCCTAAAACCACAGAAATTATAAAAGAGTTCGAGAAACATATTGAAAAAGGTAACGAAATTGATACCACTGAGTTCTCATATATGGAACAGAGACCACAAAAGGAAATATCGAAAAAAGCAACTGAATTTGTAACTACCACGGCAGAAGTGATTGAAACAACGGCTGCTTCTTTGGAAATTACAACTGACTTAGAATTGCCAGTGAACGAAACAGAAAGAAAGAAAGCTCAATTAAAAGAAGCCAAAAATGAATGGGATGAAATAACAATAACGGGTATTCAAAAAATCTCAGGTGATCTCACAAAACCAGAGAATATAGAAGATAAATTGGCAACTGAGCCGAAGACTACAATTTTCAAAAGCAAGGATAGCTCATCTAAACCAGAAAGTGTAGCAAAGACTGAATTAATTAAGACCACGACATATTTGGATAAAAGTGAAGGGAAAGTGATTAAGGAAAGTAAAGTCGATGATTTGATAGGACTCGCTAAACAAAGGAAAGGCGTGAAAGAAACTCAAATAGAAATCTTCAAGGAGTCTGCAGAGCTAAGCGAAATAGAAGTAGAACCAAAAACGGTAAAAACCACAAAAATATTAAATATATTTGAGACGGAATCAGATTCTTCCACAAGTCAATCAGCAGTTGGTGATATTCCAGATGACACAAAAATCCCTTTAGAAGTATTGAAATCTGACAATGCCCTTATCAAAGAAATATCCACAATTGAGACCAAGGAATTAAGTAGTGATTTTTCAGGTGACGAAAAAGATCAATTAGACATGAGGCTTGACAGCACTAAACATGAAAACACTACCAAAAAATTTACCCAAGATTTCTTGGTAATGGAGCAGCAAATGCAATTGCCATATTCCAATGAATCCCCAGCCGACGATGAAGAACTTAAGCTTTTAAAATCGGCCACACACACAGTCGTGCCATCTATTTTAAGTTCAACTATTGTTCCTGTTATACCGACTGATTTGAACGTTAAGCAAGAGGCAACATCATTGGTAGACGTACGCGCAACTGTACCAGATACTGCATCGAGGGAAGTACAGCCCAATATGGATACACATACAGTCGTAATGAAAAGCGCCATGAGTGACCTGATCAAATCAACCAGCGTTATAATGGCGACGGTACCGAAAGTTTCAACAGAGGAGGCTATTAAATCATTGGACGAAAGTCTTACAGGTATCAAAAGTGATGAGAAGCCTGTTCTACTTCCGACTGCTTCGGAGGAATTCACGCAAGGTAGCCAGCCAGAGACAACTTCAATTGATTTGGAACCAGAAATTATAATTGATGAGAAAACCACAACACTCAAGATGAGTTCAGCAGTAACGGATACGGTCAAAGAAGAGAGTATAAAACTTGTAGAATCCATTAAAAAGCTAGAAGAAACCATACAGATAGTCGATAAGCATCAAGAAGACGGCATCGAATTGGCCGCTCCTGTAAATGAGACTGACAAAGTATCAGCAGTAGGTATAAGAAAACTAACCGAAGATTTCCTCACCATAGAGCAAACAACACAGTTTTCAATAAGCACCAAACCCGTGAGAGAAACAATCGCAACTGACGGTTATGAAAAAACTACAATACCAACAATGTATGAAAAACCAGAAGTGACCGCAGATTCATTCAGCAGCTTGCAATCGGCTGGTCTGAGCGAGGAAATTACTAAAATAGTAACGGAGGCAGCAACGAAAATCGATGCCATTAAAATGACGAATGACTTCTTAGCCACAGAACAGATCGCACAATTACCAGCCGTTAAACATTCAAGTGATCAAATTGCAGTTCAACTTGAAACACAAATTTCGCCAAAGTCGGTTGATGAGCTTGCAACACCTGCGCCTGTGGAACCACGCAAATCTATAACCCTGACCGACGCTGAATTTTGTAAGTCAGTTGAAGAAACGATCACAAAGAAGATGAGTGCGGGACAAATTGAAATTTGTGACGAGCTCAAAACTAGCGGTAAATATTCACTCTTTATCAAAGTGTTAATGTTCACTAGTATTCATTGTATTGTTCACAATTTTTATGCAGCGAGCGACATACCACATTCTCAAACCCCACCGCCAACTCCGATTGATACTAGAACTGATAGACAAGAAGAAGAATCCTTATCACAGGCTAAATTCGCTGAAAAAGGTACACGAGGCCGTATATTATTGCTTTTACAACCACATGTCTTTATCTACTTATTTTCTAGATAATTTGTCTGACACTGTGGTCACTTTGCACAAGACCACAGAATCGACATTCGAACGTGTTTCGGGAATTTCAAAAATCGGTAAGCACTAAACCATCACCAGTATTTATCGGATATATTATAGGAGACTCTCATGTTTTTGTTGCCTTTTAGCATATTCTGAAGTAAATAAACTTATTCGACCACCATTTTCTTTTGTTTGTATGGCATACTGTAGATTTCATTTTTCTATCATCATCATCTTATCTTTACTTTTTTATTGTATCTACATATTTACAATTTGATTTCCCATAGGCTTTTTGTATGCAAATTCCATTCATGTTATAGTGTAAAAAACGATGTTTATCTGTGCTTATTGAAAAAAATCAGGATTTGTGTCATAAGAAGTATCAGAAGCTAATTGAATGAATTAGCGGCTGGTAGTGATGAAAACCAAAATAACCTATTTTTACCTATTGACTATGAACGAATATTTGTATGGATCGAACACAAACAGGGAGTATTATATTACCCTATACTCTATTCTTGGATACTTATGTATGTATATATGTATGTATGATAGGAACGTAAAGTATGTGCAAGAGTCCGTTTAAATAACCTAAAGGAAAAATTAGCTTACGAGTGTTCCGACACCCAGTGGTAGTTAGTTAAGCCTACACATATATGTACATATTCGTATTTACTTATGGAAACAAAAATGCGAGTAGTCATCATTAAAACTTTTTTGAACCAATGAACCCAAAAGACCGTTGAATGGTTTCCATATCGATTTAGTGAAATTTTCAGTTACGTTGCATATTTGCATTGCCAAGGTTAAAGGTTGAAGAAGCAGAGACAGACCATTCAAACAAAATGCATTAACACACACACAATCATTCGATACCAATGTTGTTGTGTATTTTAATTAACTATACTGTTGTTTTACTGACAAAATATCTAGCGTATACTTGTATATAAAATTGCAAGGACCTCTATGAGCGCCTGCGTACACTTTTTGACGTGCATTAGTCTTTTGAGTCATAGAGCGCGTTTGTATGGACAGCACTTCCGAAACTACCAGACTACATAAATACATACCATACATGAATGCATACATACATACACACATACATATGCGATATGCTTGAGTATAGTATGCAATGCGTCCAAATTGGAGGTGTTTGTGCGACAATTGCCTCGCTGGTGGCAACGGCACCACCCACTAGTTTGTACGCCTGCCCTTAACTAATTTAATTTATACAAAGTTGTGGGTAAATATTTTTCTTTCTTGTGAAATGTTACTGATAATTTGCTTACAGTAAGATATTTGACTTTCGCGTGAACGTTGCTCGCTGTTCGTAAGCTAAAAGTTGGTGTTAAAACATATACATATGGTTAAAACAGTCTGAAGCACATCGAATATTTACACAAATATATGTACATATACGCCTTTGGACTATAAATATTTTTGAGTTATTTCCAATGTAGTTTTCATTTTATCGAAACAAAATATTACCCAATATCTACTAGTCGTAGATTTACGATTTGTACGTTTCTTTAGAATAACGTAAATAAGTAAAGTTCATTTAGAAGATTATCAATAATAATAACGATTAAATCATACGGTAAGTTACATATACATGTCGGAGTCCCTGTGGTCTGAGGTTGAAATTTATTAATAATATTAAATATGGAAAAACGGTGTGTATTGGTTTTATTGCTAAGATCAGGCATACATATTTTACATAACATAGCAATACATAAATCGAAATGAAGTTGTTAAACGTTTGCAATTTTAAATGGAAGAGATTATGATGAATAATCAAACTACTTCAAGCTAATTTGTTCAATTTGGTTTGAAATATGCATATGTATAAGTTAATAGTCATTAAAACGAGTGAGTGTACAGTTAAATAAAATAGCACATATGTAAAACATTATCACTTTAAATAAATAAGAAAACGTATATTAAATCTATTCTGAATTGAAATATGTTACAATTTCGCCCAATTTTCCTTTTGCTCAGTGACACTTTGCCGTTCTTCGAGCGGATTTAAAGTGAATAAATCTTAAACAAGTCTAATGTATATAAATATTCTCAAATTAGTTAACTTCAGACATACATTGAATAATAAGCGAATGGAGCCAACCCCATCCTTTCCGTACAAATCACATGCCGTCCTACCTTGCGCACATGTAAAAATCACAAAAAAATAATGTTTCCTGAATGGACTGGATAGCTTCCGCTTGCTTAAACACCAGCTGAAATGGTGAAAAGTACGATTGATTAATGATAAGGGTGGCACAAACCCACATTACATTGTACGACTTTTTAAGTCTATCTTTGAAATTTTAATTATAAAATAAATTGTCAAAACTTTGTTTAGCAAAATTGAATTGAATCACAAAATAAAAAAATCGTTAGTATTGGGATCTCAAATAAAAAGTAAAAACTACAAAATTTGATCAAACTTTATAGCAGTAAAAGCTGCTATACGGCAATCGAACACAGCCTCAGATGCTGAGGTGCAATAAAATAATCGTTTCTCTTTAAAATAATTGGCAGCTAATTATGCGACACTCGTTTAGTTTAAAGAAGAATGCATAGTAAGTGAACTGCGTGCAACAGAAGCCCATAGAGTTAGATAAATATGTACAGAAGCTGAGAGTTAAAAATCAGTTTATTCTTATCTTACATATACATTATAATAATTGATTAATATTTGTATCTTAATTTCGTACTTAAATCTTTGATTTCAGAAAATGTAATTAACACGATTAGCTTGTATATATGTAAATTCTCTAGCAAAATTTGTTGATGTTTTAAGTTATTAACACATGCTAAATAACTATATTTTATAACGCGGTTTTGGATTTAGTATAGTCAGAAAATGTGAAAAGAAAAGTATTTTTGCACTCGCTTATTATTTACACACTCGTCGTATTATTTAATGCTTTTAAAACCAATTTGGCAATGCAGCGGCTGTATGTATCTCGGTTACGTTCATTTCTCTATATTATTCTGTATGTTATATGAAGTCGTGGTTGGACAAGCTTTTACGAAAATTCAAAATATCATTCGTCCTGTTTACTTAGATAACTTTGTACACTCAGTGGCCTCGAAAATCTTTTCATAATTAATATTTATTTAAAAATGCAAACGTTACCTTAATTGTATGTTAAAATAAATGTAATTTTAAGCATCGGTAAATTCAATATACTCGCACAACAAGACAGAAACACCAGCTGCATATAATCCACGACCTCGTATAGCATATTACGTCTACACATAATCATATAATCGTATTAACATAAAATGGCGGTGCTCAGCTTTGAACTGTTTAAGTTAGTGGCTAGCTGGTCGTATCATTGTAAATTTATTCTTTTGTTGCTTCACACACCATATACTCGTATCACATGCAACTTGGTGCCTACATAAAAATTTATCATACGAATCAATACACCATCTCACTTATGCATGTTGTCAACTAAATATTAAATAGATAAATATAGTCTAACCAACTGACCTCATTGATTTCTCAGTCGATATTTATGGCATTATCTATTAGTGTTAATTGTACTTGTTATTTTACATCGTATATTTCTTTGAACCGCTTTTGACTGGATTTGCAACTGAAAATGTGTAATATATGAAATAAATTAATCAATGTAATGCAATTTGAACGGCATATACAGAGCACGTCAGCATTCAAAATATTAAATCTAGTAGTTTTGCTAAGATTACTGAATCTGAAAAGTCGCCCGACACGAACTATACACTTGGAGCAGCTAAGGCAGACGAAGTTGATGATCTTAGAGACACTACCTCATTTTCAGAAATGAGTGGTGGTAGTCAAATTAAGACAACCATTACAACTGCTGTAACCAGAACAGAAATGTCACATATACACGACACAGCTTTTGACAAGGATAGGCAAGATAGAAATGCACCTGAAGTGACTAAATATGATGCGTCTAATTTAGAACATTTAAAGAGGCGGGGTGATGTTAAGCGCAAGATAATAGAATTAGAAAATACTAAAAACACAATACCAACATCCACTATTGGCAAGCAAAAGTCTTTGGCTGAGATTGGTGAAAAAATTCCAGCTGTTAAAGAAGTAGTAAAGGATTTTGAAGATAAATTTCATGACTACAGCGTTGAAACAACACCATTTAAAGTGAGACAACGTGATCTAACGCCAGCCCATGTGGATGAGAATGCTTTGGAGCGTCAAATATTAACAGACGTCGATCTTGCATTGGAGAAACTTATATCACATGAGCAACCGGCAGAAGAAGTGAAACTATCGCCTGTTGCGGCCATAGAGACTAGATTGGATAATTCCCATGTGCCAAAGGAAGAAATTTGCGAAAAAGTTTGCATTAAACGTAAAATGTTCGAAGTAGCTAAGGATGAGACTAAGTTTGGTAACACTGGTGATGCAGAGAGCGCTTTTGGGGCTCCATTTGAGAAGTCACCTAAAGAAATTAATTTGCCATCAGCAGATACCGAAGGTTCTGAAATTTTGCCAAACGTTAAAGATGTTGTAAAAACATTTGAGCAGAAGTTTTCTTCTCTAGAAACTTCCCCATTACCCGCGCGTAAGCATTTTGTTCGTGCGGACAACGAAGTAGACATTACCTATTTAGGCAAAAAAGATCTTAGTCAAAGAGACGAAATTTTAGAAAAAATAACCGGATCAGCACCACCAGTACATGGCGCTATCATGGCCCAGGAAAGGTTGGGTAGCTCTTTAAGAGAAGAACAAGTATTTGAGTTTTCAGAACCATTAGTTAAAAAACAAAAAATGTCTGAAATAAATCTAGATAATGACATAAGCTTGATTGATCAAAATACCCTAAAAGACAATAAGGAAGAAGTAGTTTCTAACGTGACCGATAAATCACAGGTTGCGGATAATGCAAATGACTTCATTAAAACGATATGTGATAAAACCGAATTTCCTATCGAAGGAACAATTGTGATAGACAGTTCAAGCTTCCCAATGAAAGATAAAGAAGGTGTTGACTTAATACCTGAGACACAGGACACTGATGTTACTAGTATAAAGGAGTATAAATTAAAAATTTATGAAACAGCTGAAAATGAGCGTAAACAAGAAGTTTGTTTAGGCAACCTACAAGTAAAACATAGAAAAGATAGCGTAGAAACTGAAAAAACTTCCGATACCGCCACAACAATCAAAAGATTTCCAGTAACGCTACCGACACCGAAAAGTGAGGAAAAAGAAACTGATATTGAAACTAAAGAAGAAAATAATAAAATAGTAAGTGGCTGCAAAGCTGATCAAGAAACAATCTCATGCGCGCATTTTATTACAAATCAATTAAAACTGGAAACATTTAGTAGACCGCCGGTGCCTTTAACAACAACTAAAATAATTAAATGGACTGATGAAAAAACAAATAATTTAGAAACGTCAGACCTTCCCACTCTTCCAAAACAAACAGACTTCAGAATAACTTCCGAGAGAACTGAACTGATGCCTATCGAAAAATATTATAGAAGTGAAAACCAAAATAGGCTTTATGACAAAGCGATGACGCAAGACTATAACGATAAAACACTAACAGGGCTCCAAATAAGTACTACCAAAGAACAAACTGCGAAAATTCTTTCTTTCCACAAACATTCTGCTATTGAATCACATGTTAAATTTGAAAACCTTACAGATACTGAAATGAGACAGGTTTCGAATACAGATATCAAAGATTTCCAAAAATTTTCAAAACCAAAAGACAAACACAAATCTCCTCTAGACATTGCTAAGCCTGTTCCTCATGTGAACTATTCTGATGAATCAGAGGAGGAGTTTGACAAACCTAAGGTCACTGATATGAAACAGGTGTTACCATTAGTAAAGTCTATAAGCAAATCAGAAGACAAAGATACTAAAGACGTTCTACCAATTTCCAAACCAGAAGATAAACTAAAATCTCCTCTAGACATTGTTAGGTCTGTTCCTCATGTGTACTCTTCTGATGAATCAGAGGAAGAGTTTGACAAACCTAAACTCACTGATATGAAAGAGGTGTTACCATTACTATCGTCTATAAGCAAACCAGAAGACAAAAGTACTAAAGACGTTCTACCAATTTCCAAACCAGAAGATAAACTAAAATCTCCTTTAGACATTGTTAAGCCTGTTCCTCATGTGTACTCTTCTGACGAATCAGAGGAAGAGTTTGACAAACCTAAACTCACTGATATGAAAGAGGTGTTACCAATAGTATCGTCTATAAGCAAACCAGAAGACAAAAGTACTAAAGACCTTCACCATTTAAAACCAGAAAAACAAAATCTCCTCTAGACATTGCTAGGCCTGTTCCTCATGTGTACTCTTCTGGTGAATCGGAGGAAGAGTTTGACAAACCTAAACTCACTGATATGAAACAGGTGTTACCATTAGTATCGTCTATAAGCAAACCAGAAGACAAAAGTACTAAAGACGTTCAACCAATTTCAAAACCAGAAGACAAACAAAAATCTCCTCTAGACATTGTTAGGTCTGTTCCTCATGTGTACTCTTCTGATGAATCAGAGGAGGAATTTGACAAACCTAAACTCACTGATATGAAACAGGTGTTACCGTTAGTATCGTCTGTAAGCAAACCAGAAGACAAAAGTACTAAAGACGTTCAACAGATTTCAAACCCAGAAGGCAAACAAAAATCTCCTCTGGACATTGTAAGGCCTGTTCCTCATGTGTACTCTTCTGATGAATCGGTGGAAGAGTTTGACAAACCTAAACTCACTGATATGAAACAGGTGTTACCATTAGTATCGTCTATAAGCAAACCAGAAGACAAAAGTACTAAAGACCTTCAACCAATTTCAAAACCAGAAGATAAACAAAAATCTCCTCTAGACATTGTTAGGTCTGTTCCTCATGTG